ATATTAAAGATGCAAGTGAATGGACGAAATTACCCCTCAAAATCTCACGTACAAAGCACATGTTTTAACATTCCGGTCGAAATGGCCGGAAAATTGAGTTTAGGGGGCATCGTGCAACGAATTAACGAGTTCAGGTAAAAACGTGCAAATTTTGTAAGCTGGGGGGGCGCCGTGCAAAACACCCCAAAGTCCAGGGGGTAAAATGCTTTTTACCCTTAAAAATAATATAAGATAGTTAGTCCTAATATTTTTCCTAATGAGGGGGTTATATCTCATTAACCCTATATATATATATATATATATATATATATATATATATATATATATATATATATATATATATATATATATATATGTACATATATGGGCAAATTGCACAGCCCCATGTAAATTTCTAATTTTCGTATTTTGCCTCCTCAAATTTTTTATAAGTGAATGCCCCCCTCCCCCCTCAAAATGTTATTTTTGTTGTACATTGCTCCCATAGCAAAACTCCGATTGATTATTCTTTCGAATTGTTGCACGTTGCCCCATTTAAATGTTATTTTTGTTACATATTGCCCCTTAAAAACTCTATTTTTTTTTGCACGTAGCCCCTTTAAAATGTTATTTTTGTTGCACAATGCCCTTCAAAAATTGGTTTTTTGGACAAAATGCAACTAAAATAATATTTTGAAGGGGAATATACATTTTTCAAATTTATTTGGGATTAGGACATCATAATTTGAAAGGCCAACCTAAGTTATTAGAAGATTATGTCCTTCTCAACTATCACAAAACTATTATTATGATTTTTGGTTTAATAAAATAATTAAATAATAAAATATGCATCATCAGATCGATCAGTCATTGGATGAATGTGACCCATTTATTATCAAATATTTATTACGTGTCTTTTTCATATTATTGTCATTTATTTTGGACATAATTAATTGATGTGTTTTTATATAACAGAAGAGATAATATATGATATAGAAAGGTACATATATGATTTATTTAGTTAATGATTGCTCGAATAGAAACATAGAACATTAGCTGTCTTATTCCATTCACCAATTTAAATTAATCAATCGTGTTTTCTGTCCGAATAAATAAAGAAAACATGGCTTTTAATTATATATATAAATCTTTGTCCATATTATAGATTAAAATTGATCCTATAATATTATATATGTCCGATCAATCAATATTATTTAATTAAATAAAATTGTATATTTGTAGTCACCAGTCAGGGTTGGCCCTAGGTTAATTGGTGTTTGCATATGCTACACTCGGTAAAATATACCATGTAGTTATATACTATTGATATACACGTATATAATAACCCATGCACATTTGTATGTGTGTTTAGTGAGTGGTTATTTGTATAAATATATAGCAACCGTAAAATGGTGAATTATGATGGTGCTTTTTAGTTTTTATGTGTTACTAATATGCCCAAAATTCTCCTTACACGAAACCTCATCCTATAGTTAACTACCGTCACAGCGTAACTCAACCAAAATCTAAGGGGGTGTTTGCAAAAGCTTTTGGAAACAACTTTTGAGCTTTTTTTGCTAATATAATTTGTTTTTAGGCGGTGTTTGCAGAATCAGCTTGTACTTTTGCTTCTCTTAGATTAAGTTGTTTTAAGCAGTTGTGTCCTGTGTTTTCTATTTAAGTTAATTTTTCAGCATATATACAAACATCTCCAACTTTTACAAATAAGCGTACGTAATACCCACTTAACTCACAATCGTCACTAACTTCACATTTTAAATAAGTTTTTACCAAAAATCACCTAAGATTTCGTAAAATTACACCAATTTAATATCTTTTTCAAATTTATAAAAAAAAAATCTTGTGATAATAATTAGCAAGTACCCCTTATGTTGTACTTTATACTGCACATCGCCTCATTTATCAGATTTAACTCCTAAATTTAATGAAAAGACAAAATTATCCCTAATTTAAAATAAAGCAGAATACCCCAAACTCAATTAATTAGAAAATTGTGAAAAAAATAAAGGGGGCGGAGTTCCTTGGGAGAGATGGAACAGAGGAAAGGGGGCGTTTAGTACCCTTCGTTTTGGCATTTGTGAGATTTTGGCGAGTCGAGGGTTTTAGTGAGGTCGACGGTGGAGGGGCGGTCATAGACGGCGGGGGTGGTGGCAGAGCTGGCAGTTAGTTCGGAGTTTTTTAAGTTGGCCGGCAATGGTGGTTTTCGATGTGGTGTAGGAGAGGGTTTTTTTGAAAGTGTAAGGGACTCAAATAAAAAAAATTAATAATTCATTTTGGTGCTTACAAAAAAAGGTAAGGGTGAATCTGTAATTTGTAAATATATGATGAAGGGTAATTGGGTCTTTTACGGTAAAAAATAATACTCTCAGTCGTAAAATTTGCGTGCGCAACTCACGATAAATTGTTAGGGGCTTTTTCAGCTTTGACTACATTTCATATGAGGGTCCTTGCAGGGCCGGTTCTGAGGGGAGGCGAAGTAGGCGGTCGCCTAGGGCCCCTGAATTTTTTTAATCAGGGGTACCTAATTATTAAATTTATAATGTATTAGTTATTTACTTTTATATATATTCACTTGTTTTAGTGCTACTTCATACAAATTATTCTTAAAAAAAATTGGGGGTGCTGCCCCCGAACCCCTGTAAACTTTAACCCCACTATGTCACAGATTTTTAGCCTTGCCACTGGCTATGTACCTTACAAAATCGAGTTAACATAGAGTTTATCACCTTTTAGAAAAAAAAAATGAGTTTTATTGTAGATTGTAGAAGGGGGCCCATTTTTTATCCGTCTTCAAATCTCGCCTAAGACCCCAAAATCTCAGAAACGGCCGTGATAGGTTATTGCAAATAACATATATTCTTTCTCGAAAAGAAAAAAAAAAAAGGCCACACATGTTTATTCCAAGACCAAAAGCCCAATGCAATAATACATCTCCACACCAACTGCACTGTAATTCTTTTTTTTTTTGTCCCCCTTACACACAACAACAACAAAATACATCTACACAAAAGCACACCAATAATGCATAAATAAAACAAACATTATTATAAAAAAATAAAAAAAATAGAACAAACAATCCTTAAACACCACAGTAGGTTCTGATAGCACTCTCAAGTCTCCTATTCTCTTCTTTGCTGTAAAAATCAAGAAACTCGAGATGCTCAAACGGCTTATACTGCATCGGATGATCCTCGTCCACTAATTCTTGCGGTATTTCGACCGTTTTCTCCAAAAACGAAAACTGCGCAATTGAATATCTTGCTTTTTTAGCTTCCATGGTCACCCTATGGTGTGGCGATTTTATCCGGTTATTGCTCCATGCCTATTCCATCCAATTTATAAACAAGTTTATTGCATTTAGTACTGATGCTATATCGAACCGTTAAAAAACTCTCCGTGTTATTAATATCAACAAAACAACCCCTTTTAATGCATCTTTTTTAGCACATAACACATGAATAACGAGTTTATAGGGGCAGTTTAGGAAGAAAAATTGAACCATGGGGGGGTTTTTTAAGAATAGAGAAAATATAGGGGTGTTGAATGCAATAAACCGAAATATAAACTCACCATTATTGCGTCATGATGGGGGTTTGCTATTAAAAAAATACGGGGGGTTTTTAGCGATTAGAGAAAATACAGGGGTGTTGAATGAAATAAACAGAAATATAATATACTCACCATTATTGCATCGCCAGCCATAACTATGACAGATGAAGAAGAAAGCTGATGAACACCAAACCAGTCACCATCTTTGGTTTTGATCTCCAAACCGTCAACTTGATTCTGATGAATTGTAGACATAAAACTCTTGTCTGTATGAGACACAAATCCCATGTTATTTTCATTCGACTTCGGTTCTCTGTATTTCATTACCCTGCAGAGATAGTTTGCTGAACCGATGAGGGATTCGTAGTGCTTCCCCACTCCGTATCTCTCGAACACCATTCGCACGACAATTTTCTCCAGTTCCGCTGCTAACTTTGTGTACGAAACGAGTTTCTCACTGCGCCCAAAAAAAATTTGAGTTATACAGTAGAACCTTGATAAACTAATGTCCTGAATCATAATTTATTCGAATCCCAACTCGGTAAAAACGTACTAAAATTTTAGTTAGATAGTTCAATATTTCGCTAAATTAATATAATTTGTTAGTCGCGAATGTATTAATTTATTGAGGTTTCACTGTATCAGGCTTTTGATAATGAAAATAACACAGGGATGTTTTTCTTTAACAATTTTAGTAAACATAGGGGAGTTAGATGATACATCTGGTTACTTACATCGGGTGGATTTGAATCGTTGATTTAATTAAATAATTACCCACTGAACAATGTGTGTGTGATTATGTATAAATCTATGGTTCAAATTCACCCAGTGTAAATAGCCAGGTGTAGTATCTAATTTCCCGTAAACATAGGGGTGCAGAATGCGCAAATAAAGTTACTACAAGCTAGTAAAACATCCATAATTTATCCTAAATTTCTAGACAAGGAAAATCAAAACTACTATACACTAAAAAAAATATAAGCGAAAAAACATGTATTTTTTGTAATCCGGAAAAATTCGTACCTGAAATCGTTATATCCATTAGGCCACATAACTTTGGCGAAATTCTGGATTCCTTGGAGGGTATCGGCATTATCGATACCCATACTTTCGTAGAGAGGAATGAATGGGATTTGGCCAACATAGCCGTATAAGGGCTTAGTGGATTTGTTTTGGACTTTGGTTTGAGTTGGGAGATCAAACAATTCTTCTAGGGCTTTAAAAACTGTAGTGTGTGTTTCTTGGGTGAGTTTATCATATGATGCCACAAAACAACCGTATTTTTCGAGTGCAGAGACCACTTCGTTGCATGTTTTGGACCATGATTCTGTCCCGGGTTTCAAGTTCTTGTCTGAGAATTCAATGACATCAAGTTTGTGTTCTTGTGACAGAGAACCCATGAGAGAGAGAGAGAGAGAGAGAGAGAGAGAGAGAGAGAGAGAGAGAGAGAGAGAGAGAGTTGAAGAAATAGTATGATACTTTTATCATGGATGCAGGCATTGCTTACTTATAATAACTTATGTAGCGCGGACATGGAAACAGTGATACGGGGAAACGGCATATCCCAAAAATAGGGATACGGGAACTTGAGGGAAATATGTAAATATTAAAAATATATAGGGGTATATTTATAAATTCTTTTTATATGTCTTCGTACAAACATATTCAAAATAAATATTATTATCAACTAACTATCAATCTGCAATAGATCATTAAATCATATAAATAATTAGGAAAGGCAATAAAAATATTTAGAAATTCGTTATTCAAACATGTTTCTAACTTTTTTAAAATTTGCAAAATGGCCCATAAGGTGTCCGGCGGGTGTCCTAGAGTATCGGACATAAAACGTGTCCGAAATTATGTGCCAAATTAAATAGCAATAGTATTAATTTAATAAATGGCATATAGTACACATTAGTTTTAATTAATTATTCTTTGATTAGCACCGGCCCATTTGGTGGAGGGGTCCTTCTCCTGCTAATAGTTTATAGTTCAATTATGGGTTAATTGCAAATACGATCCATGTGTAATCTCTAATTGTCAAATATCCCTGTCAAAAAATAATTCACTCATGCCCTCCTGTGTTAACAAAGTCAATGCATTAAGACCCCCTAAACTAAGGGCCGATTTGCATTTTACCCCCCAAACAAAAAAACTAACCAAAATAATTCACTCATGCCCTCCTTTTTTTTTTGTTTTTTTTGTTTTGTTTTTATATATTTATTTTTTAAAAGATTAAGTTATATTTAATATACAATATGTAAGTGACGGACGAATATACCCCTGCAAATGTCACATGCAAGGCACATGTTTTAACTTTCCGGACAAAATTGCCGGAAAATTGAGTTTGGGGGGCACCGTGCAACGAATTAACGAGTTCAGGTAAAAACGTGCAAATTTTTTTTGTTTGGGGGGTAAAATGCAAATCGGCCCTTAGTTTAGGGGGCAAACTGCTTTTTACTTTTTGTAATTACAAAATAATTTTATTTTATATAAAATTAGATAATTATGATATAAAATTTGATGTAATTAAAATCCATTATTATGTACTAATTGCTGAAAAAACCCTAGGACATTTCAGTCTTTTACCTTTCGTCAAAGCCTAAAATAAAAAAAGGTGCAGTGCGCTTCGAAAATATTAACACAGGGGGGCATAAGCGAATTTTTTTTATACAGGGGGTATTTGGCAATTACTGATTACACAAGGGTGGTATTTGCAATTAACTCGTTCAATTATTACGATTTACGACAATAATTTGCGATTATTCTAATTCAAAATATATCTTATGCATGATTCATATGTGTTTAATAAATTTTACACTCTGTTTACATGATAATTAAGGGCCAACCAAGCACACCGAAAATTACTATTTTAGCCCACCAGCAACAAAGGATTACATTCGAAGAAAAGGGACTTTTTCGACAATAGAATAAATTATAGGGATTTGATGCAAAAAAAATAAAAATTATATGATATAGAATAACATAAATCTATCTCTTCTGGAAGTTGAAAAATCTGATGGCGATTCCAAATGTGAAAATGAAAAGAACAGTGAATGCAACATGCATGCCTGCAACTGCTCCAAGAAAATCGTGTTCGAAACCGAAGTAGCTTTTCAAGAACTCTTTCACCGTCACGCCCGGTAATATATAATTCTCCAAATCTCCGAATTGCGACGCCGTCAAACCGTACATCGTCCAAGAAATTGGATCCGCCCAATAATACCATCTCCACCACACAGGGATGCTCTGGTTTCAACAACAATTAAAAGAAGAAGAAGAATTAATAATTCGGTTTCAAATATTTTTTTCGTGTTTATGAAAGGAAATGGATTTGGTTTTTGAACTTACGGGGCGTGGGATGATGAAACCCGAGAAGAGATTCCATAGCAGGATAAAGAAAGTGCCTACCACCGAGCCGATGTGGTGGTTTGGTGACACGGACAATGACATCATCCCGTAGAAGGTGAAGTACAATAGACACAAGTACATGATGAACAAAAACCACAAGAATTTTGGTACTGTCCATTCGAACCCAATCATTGGATAAACAATCAGGCCGAAGGCGATAGCTTGCGCGAAAATATAAGGAAACTCAATAGCAACCTACAAATAATTAAAAAGAAAAAAAAACTATAATTAGTTTGCAATTAAAATTAAAAAAAGAAAAAAAAAACTATAATTAGTTTGCAATTAAAATTTAAAAAAAAAAAAAAAAAAAAAAAAAAAAAAAAAAAAAACAAGATTAATCAACAAGAGTTTATAGAGTCAATTGGCTTAATTCCACTTTGCACCCTTGAAAAATACCATTTTGGCACTTTGCACCCTCGAAAAATAATAATAGCACTTTGCACCCTCAAAACACAATAAATCATTCACAGTGCACCCTCAATTGAATAATAAAGGCAATTTTATTTTTCATTGGTGTTTTTCTTTTTTGGGTACAAAATAAAAAAAAAATTGTTGTTTTCTTGAACCTCAAACCTAATTTCGAGCGGACAAAGTGCGAAAAAAAAAAAATTACACCGGATTATTTAAAAAAAACTACATTATCTTACAAAAGAAAAATAAAAAAAAATAATCTTTTATCACTAAATTATTCGATTGTGGATCTTTTATGTCACTGTTTGTAAAATATTAGGTGAAAATATTTGGAAGAAAAAATAATTTTCAGATAACTTGATAACGTAATAGCTGAATGATTTTTTTTCGTAAAATATTTTATTTTGATAAAACAATATAATTTTTAAATATGTTGATGGAATGTATTTTTATTTTTGAACTTTATAGTTTCAAAATGATTGATGAATAAAAAAAATATTTGACATTTGGCATGCTAAAAAAATATCACTACAAATATTAAATTTATATTTTTTAGCTTTAAAAAATCATTTGGGGTGCATTATGCATGATTTATTGTATTTCGAGGGTGCAAAGTGCTATTAATTTATTTCGAGGATGCAAAGTGCCAAAATGGTATATTTCAAGGGTGCAAAGTGGAATTAAGCCGAGTCAATTATATATATAAACCTGTGCTATAGCATAGGGCATGGATGAATACATCCCCGCAGCTCTTTCTCTATAGAAAACAGTTCTCTCGATAGCAACGACCGGCTGAACTGCAATGGCGTTTTGGATGCCTAAGAAGAGCACAGATCCGTACATAGAACCGATGCCGTTGAGTATATTCTGTACACCATTCCTGCTCATTTTCAAGAATTTTTTTATTATTAATATTTTTTTTCAAATAATTCCGTTTTATGGGATTATTCAGAAAAATACCTATTGGAGCCGAAATCCCAGAACATGCTTCCCATGATGAGAGCTATGAATATGGTTGAGAAAAACCGAACAGCGGTGTAAGGTGGATTTCTCCAGTAGGACCAGTGTTGCTTCCACAGGCAATATAGGCATTGGATGTGGAATGGCTGAGAGTATTTAGTACGAAAATATAGCTCTTTCGTCTCTGGTTTCGGCGAACTCAATTCACTAATTAGAGCTTTGTTCCTCCTGGTAATAATATTTAAGGTTGTTAGAAAAGAAAAAAAAATATTACATCATGATAAATCAGTCATAGTGTTAAATGAAGAGCAAACCTGTATAATTCGGAATCTTTATATAAGCGAGAGAAATCGACCCCTACGGACGTTTCTTGAGCTGGAGCAGTAATTTCCAGCATCCATGTTGCTGGATTGTAACCGTCTTTTATTCTGCTAACTCCTTCAATACTCTTTTACGGTAAATAACAAATAAAAGAATACTATATTAGTCTCTCTTCTTCTTCTTGTTTTTTCTTTTTCTTTTTTTTTTTCTAATCTTTGGCAAACTAACCTCAAAGTACTTGATCAGATGGCACGAATGGCGTCCCAACGGGCCCACGTATATCTCTTCCCCTCCTCGTTTAAGCAGAAATAGCTAGTAATTTTAGGTCAGTAATTTTGAACAAAGAATACAGACAAGATCAGTTAAGGTTATTCATTTAACTAGTTTCTTTTCACCTCATCGAAAGATTCGAAAATGTCAATGCTAGGCTGGTGTATGGTGCAGACAACTGTCCTTCCAGTGTCAACGGTGTTTCTAACAGTTCTCATCACAATTGCAGCAGCTCTTGCATCTAAGCCTGAAGTTGGCTCATCCATGAATATTATCGATGGATTCGCCACGAGCTCGACTGCAATAGTCAACCTCTTTCTCTGCTCGGTCGATAGACCGTTGACACCTGGCAACCCAACTATCGCACCTCTCAACGGTGTGAGTTCAACGAGCTCCATCACTTCATCAACAAACATCTGCAAATGTGCTTGATAAATGCTATTACAAAATATTATTTTTTTAATAACCTTAATTAGAAATTAATGGATGGTTTGCTATAATAATTACTGACACTTTTTGTTTTAGCATCGATATCGGGAGATAAACGAAGCCAAGCCGAATAAAGTAAGGATTCGTGCACAGTTACGTGAGGGGAATGGATATCGTTCTGCTCACAATACCCTGAAATTCTAGCAAATGTTTCTTGCTTTTTAGGGTACCCTGAGATTGTGATGCTCCCATCTATATAGCCTCCCGTTTTCCGACCAGCCAGCACATCCATTAGGGTTGTTTTTCCGGCCCCACTAACTCCCATCAAAGCTGTAAGAATACCTGGCCTAAAAGCTCCACTCACACTCTTTAAAAGCACCAGTTTATCCTCAAGAAAACCTCTGTCTTTCATTTCCTTGAAAGCAAAAAAAGAAAAAGAAAAGAAAAATCACTCAATAAAATGTAGCCTAAATTCCATTTTCAAAATAACACCCGAATTTTTTTTAAGAAATTACCTGTGGCATATTAACAGAGTACACAATTTCATCAAAGGTGATGGAATGCGGTTCGAATGGAAGAACCATTCCCCTTTTCCTCTTGTTGGCATCAACAAGACTATTTAGTCTCGTTTCGTCGTCGTTTGGACTATTTTCGCTTTTGTCTTCTGATTTAACAGCTTGAGCCTCTCCAAAAGCTACATAAACACTATTTTTTTTACGAATGCGACTCCAAATTTTAAATTACATAGATTCTAAAAGAAGAAACGCAGATACAAGTACTTACGGTTGAGATACATTAGAGCTAGCATGACGCCTATGTTGAATAGGATTGTGAATCCGAGTAATGCCACTAATCCTATCCAGTACATTTGTGCTTGTGGTAAGAATCCACGGGCTTTTAGAACCTCAACTCCTAATGATTCATTCTTGTATCCAACAACCTTTAGGACATAAACTTATCAATAATCATCTTCTTTTCTCTTTTCAAAAGCAAAATTAGGACAGTGAAATACGCTACAATTTTTACAGTCAGCCATGTATTTACTTTATTAGCATAAACCCCACTATATATGTTCGGAAGTTAAATATATGCTCGGAAATTAAAGCCAAAAGGTACCCCTTTGACCTCATTGTTTCGCAATTCACCCACGAAAAAAACACACAAATTCTGATAGATGGAACTTACATGTTGCCAACTATTCCCCCTAAATTCATTCACGACAAGTGCATTCTGCGCGTACATCATTGGCGAGCACCAATAAGCCCATATCCACCATTTTTTCACACTCACTGTAAAAAAACAGAAAAAAAAGGGGGGGATGGACGTAATTAAAACATATGATTAGAATTGCTTAAGAATGAATCGAATCATTATCAACCTTACGAAATTCAATCTTTTTTTTTTGGGTTCTTGTTCTGTACCTCGTGACATGACAACACCACCCAATGCAAAAACTGCGAACAATACAATTGCACCAAACGTATTTGCAATGATCATGTTCCTGCCCACCGCTCCGATCAGCCGGAACAATCCACTGGCCATCTGGTTTACAAATAACAACAGCAAGTATTGTTTGAAAAATCTGCATTAAAGATACCATTTTATGTTAGTTAGTACAAAGAAACACACATGTACCCACAAATGCACACACATGATCTTGCATTGTACTCCCTATGTTCCATAATAATTGTAGTATAATATTTCTACACACATATTAAGAAAGTTCATAAATATGCTTGAATTTTAGGAAAAACACACATAAAAAGACTAAAATATCCTTTGTTATTTAGTGAAGTGATATTTGAATTAATGTTTAATATAGAGTTGAATTCTAATAACAGGCAGAACAGGAAACAATACATTTAATGCATCATTGGGACTCTAAAATGAGATTCATATGGAACAAAAAAATATGAAAGGGAGGGGTGTATAGAAATTGTACCTTGCAGCATTGGGATCGTACCCCGTGACATAGTAGGTGATTAAAACCCAAGCCCCTACTTCGACAAACGAAATGGGTATCTTGAGTATCCACATTGGGAGCGCATACACCCAAGGAGGAAAAAAGAGAGACTCTCTATGTTTGTAAAAAACGGGAAGTTTGTATATTGTCATGGAAATCTCAGACATTCCATTGAACATTACTATAGTTGCGCTGAAAAACAATGCACCGACAAATATATATCCATCCTCTAAGCTACGGCGGTGCATCGTGGTTCGGAAAAAGATCGTCATAGATACCAAGGCAATTATAAGCATCTGACCAAATAAAAAGACTTGAGTTTTTATTAAAAATAAAAGTAGTAAAAAGGGATATATATATATATACACACACACAAAAACCAACCTGTAAGATCTTGAAGATATACACAAACGAGTTTCTTTTCATGAGCAAGATTTCTCTTATAGAGCAAATTCTTAATAACTCCTTCGTGGTGGTGCCGTATTTTCTGGTTGTTAAAGCGGCGGGGTGGCTTTTCGTCTTGTCGAACGGAGATGCAAGATTTTCGTTGAGTCTCCGTCCAATGTGGAATGATTTAAACGCCTCGACAAATTCACTCACTGTCACGAATCTGTAAGGCTCGTTGATCTTCATCCAATATTGTTGCTGATCTTTCATTGATGTCACCTGTAAAAGAACTGATTTTCCTCATTGTGCTTACTGAGAAAAGGACTTGTAATGATGGTTAGTCTTGAATGTGATTTTCTCTGTACTTGTTCTAACTATCAAAAAATTATTTCCTATTACTTATATTAACATAAACCCGACTTTGATCGGAAGTCAAAGACTCATTTGACCCCAATTTGTTTCGCTGATTTGACCTCTTACTAGATGAGGTGGTCATTCAACAGTAGCAATTCGAAAAGGCCAAAGGGGTATTTTGCAATTCACCACTCATCTTAAAATGTGGGGGAAGTACACTTTACACCCTTAACTATGGGCAACGTACCAAACACCCCTTTGAACTTCAAAACGTACCAACATAGCCCCTCTGTTTAAAATCCGCCTGCCCTTGCGGATGTGGCGCTTTGAATTTTTCGTTTATAGGCGTTGGAGTGACCGTTGTGCTTTTTTTCAGAATTTTACCCTTCAACTGGTTGTATATATATATATTGATGAACGAAAGCCTGTTTTGACTTTATCCTTGTACTTTTTCCGATTATCTTTGAACAGAAAAGCCCACGGCTTGGAATCTGTGTTATAAGTTGGTTGAGACATTTCATCAGTCACCTTGTGTGCCTCATTTGCGCACGAAATTCCTTAAGCATTAAATCGTTTCCACCATCCATACCCAAGTCAGAATCAACATCAAATTTCTTCGCTCCCAACCCCTTTTCCATGACAGCAAAATCACGCCATAAAACTCGCGCAGAAGAGCTTTTGCTGTAGGTAGCAAGCCCCTTTCTATTCTTAGCATTTGAATACCTTTCTAAACTTCATAAGTGTTAATAAAAATCTGGTGGAAATATCCCAGCCAAATAGCCCAAGATCAAAGAAACCCAAACCAAAGAAAAATTCGCGCGGAGGAAAAAGAATCGCACAGAAAAACTGTTAACTCAGCAATTTTTGAATTTGAACAGAAATTAACAATTTAATATTGGAAAAATATATCTCAGATTTTAACGAAACGGTTGTAGCAGTCAGATTATTGGGAAATGGGCTCAGAAGATCGATCAGAATTCAGCAAGGAAGCACAAGGAGGAAGATAGAGAATCTTCTTTCAGGGAGAGAGAATCTCTCTATTTAACTACTTTTTAACTGATATATCAACTGAGGGTGTAAATGTAATTGCATATTAAAAATTAACAGTGTTAGTTTTCCTAAGAAATTGCACTTCACCCCCTATAAATTTCCAATTTCTGCATTTTTATTGGACGTTGCAGCTTTAAACTATTATTTTTACTGTTTAGAATAATATTTTTATTGCATATTGGTCCTTTAAAATGTTATTTTGTGCCACGTTACCCACTAGAAATTGACTTCTGGAGCAAAGTGCAACCGAAGCAATATTTTAAAGGACGTTTGTCTCTATTTTTTTTAATTTCAAGTGGAGAAAGTGCGAAACAAAAAAAAAATATTGCATACACAATTAATTACCTCTTGCAAGAAATCGGCCACTGCTTTCCTCTCCGGACATTTAAACCCCACGGATTCGAAAAATTCTAAAACGTTCTCTCGAGGGCCTTGGTACACAATTTTTCCATCGGACAATAACACGACATCATCGAATAGTTCGTAAGTCTCGGGTGCTGGTTGAAGGAGTGATATTAGTGCAGTTCCATTTAGAATGTGAACGAACTGTCTTAACGACTTCACGATTTGGAACGTTGTGGAACTGTCCAATCCAGTCGAAATCTCGTCCATGAAAAGAGCGTTCGTTGGACCAACCAGCATTTCACCTATCGAATTAATTAATTTTTTTTTCTTTAATACAAAATTAATATCCATTTCAAAATATTAATGTACAAAAATCAAATTGATTTTATTCTATTTTACCTGTCGTAACGCGTTTTCGCTGTCCCCCCGAAATTCCCCTTACTAACTCGTCTCCGACCATAGTATCGGCGCAAATCTCGAGGCCTAAAATCTGCAAAGAACATATTTGTAAATTGTGATTTGAATTTTCTTTTTTCTTTTTTTTTTTTTTTTTTTTTTTTGCAAATTTGAAAAAGTTAAGGATGTTATTATACCTTGAGAATATAATTTGTCATTACACTTGCTTCTTGTCCTTGTGTCGAAACAGCCTGCATAGTCGAGTTACTTCAGATTTCTCCGAAAATCATAGAAAATATTTACATATACCTTCAAATTAATTAAAAAAATAAATAATTAAAAAAATTAAGTATTTACCTTCATGAAGATATCAATATCAGGATCAGGTTTAATATTAGCATTTTTTTCTCTTATTGCCAATTCAGACAACATTTCTGCAAATATGAAACACCACAAACTTGATCATATGCTAATAAATAAATTTCAAAAAAAAAAAAAAAAAAAAAGATCGACTATTGACTGACCGTAGCGAGATCCAACACCCTGGCATCGAGCTGAAAATTCGAGAGTTTCTCTGACAGTCATTTCTCCGATATGAACATCGTATTGGCTAATATACGCCGCAGTTGTTTGTGGTACAAACTCATTCATTCCATACCCATTATAAGTCACCTTTCCAGCAAACTATTATTGTCATAAATTAATTAGTATTAATATATGTATATATAATATTGCTCTTAAATCGAAATTCGAATAAATTAATTAATTAATTTATTTATTTGGCAAGAATATATAACTTAAAACCTTCAAAGAAGAATTCAATTTTCCAGCCAAGGCCAACAAAAGTGTTGTCTTTCCTGAGCTTGGAGGGCCTAGCAGCAACGTCATTCTTGAAAAATGGCACATCGAAAAAGTTAAAAATCTCGACGATTTTTTTTTGTCGACTAAAAAAATTAATTTAATAGTGATGATAATCAAATTAATTTTAAATGTAAATGAAATTCATCAAAATTGCATCTATATATATCCACCTGCATGGCTTGATGATTCCACTAACATTCTGCAAAATAGAAATATTCTTCTTCTTGCTTGGAATTATATGCAAATAGTTCAAAAATCCCTATTGAAAGAAAATCATGTACAAGTTAGATTAAAATTGAATAAATTAATTAGTCATTTTTATTAGTAAATAAATAAAAAACTTGATAAACTATATAAACCTGCAATGTGTTAATAAAGGAGTTAAAAAACGTCGGCAACGATCGGCTCCCTACGTAAGCTTCCGCACCAACAGTTAGATTCTCGAATCTCACTTCAATTGTGGGTAGTTCAATTCCAACTCTAACCAAAAAAAAAATACGACAAAATATAATATAAAAACGTCGAGAAAATGAAAAAAAAAATTAAAAGATCTGTTTTGAGGTTATTATATTAGTACCTGTCAATCCGGTCTCTAAGCTTCGACAGAAACTTTTCGTTATCTTCATCGACGTCTTTTATAAGCCTATCGAGAAGATCTTTTCGTTCTTGAAATCCGAGTTTTCTTGCATCAACTTCACTAGTGGCCCCACTTCTTGATGCTCCTACTAATAGAAGTCCCTTTTTCAAGCGATCGTAAGTCGAGAGTTTTTCGAGCGCGGCCAATTTTAGTGCTTCTTCGTCTTCTTCTTCGTCTTGTTGTCGTGTTGAGTTCGAGAATATTTCCAAGCCGTTGTTCCTCCAAAAGGACGAACTGTTGGCTCTAAAGCTACTACTTGGCTTGTAAATTTCACTCTCTTGATCCATATTTTTTTATGATCAATAGAATTCAAAAAAAAAATGAATATGCAAAACTACTTGAATAAGGTATATATATATATAGATAAATAAATCTTGGATATTTAGCTAATTACACAACATGTGACAGATTTGCATGCAAATGCTCTGTGACAACATTTATTTATTTATTTTTATTTTAAAAGGATTTTGAGTTCTTGAAGTGAAATTGATGAAGGAAAGATAATTAATATCTGCCAAAAAGTCTTGGTTGACCTGGATTGAAGGGTAATTTTTGTGTCCTTCCATCTACAAGTTGTTTGTACATCTATTAAAGGGGAATTGAATGGCTAATTAATCAAAATTTACTCAATTTGTACCGAAATAAAATAAAGGATAAATTCTATTTTTCCCCCTTATACTTTGGTTCGGTATCACTTTGCCCCTTTCTACTCTCAATTGCATCGATTTGCCCCTAGACATGGCCACGGGTCGGGTCTGACCCGGACCCGGCCCGGACCCGACCCGTTGACTGACCCGCCCCGCCCCGGACCCGGCCCGTTGACCATGGACCCGGACCCGGACCCGGCCAAGTAAGGGTCGGTTTCGGGTCCCAACTTCTTGGACCCGAGACCCGCCGGGTCTACCCGGCGGGTGGACCCGAAGAACCGGACCCGAGGGCCCGGCCCGAGGACCCGTCGGGTCCACCCGGATTTTTAATGAAATAATCACCAAAAATGCACCAACTGGGGATCGAACCCGGGTAGCCCGAGTGATTCACTGAACACTAACCACCAGGCCAACCAATATGTTTGATTATATATAGACAACAAATGTATATAATATAAACCTATGGCGTAAATGATAAATATGTTAAATAAATTATTAATTTTCATATTAATTATTATTAAATAATTAACAAATGCAATATAAGAAAAATATATATAATCACAATTCAATACTTCAAAACATCTATTATTAATTAATATATCAATATAAGCTCCACTGTTGAAAAATATAAAGTATTGAATCAATTCAATATATAAACAAATGCGTTGACTTATTAAAAATTGACTTATGTTATTAAAATCGATAGTGTGAAAAAATCGAATGAAAAATAAAATAATATGTTTATTTTAAAAAACAAATTATAACCCATTTCAATTAATTTAAGTCGATTAACCTCAATTGTTGACAATAACTTATTAATATTATTGAGTATTTTATCATAAGATAATTATTTATATAAATGGTGTTTATTTTAACAAAAATAGATTATATCCCATTTCAATTAATATTCTTACTTTAAAAATAACATTATATATGACTAGTATAATCAAAATATTATGATGTAATTTCTCTTTTAATAATTGATTTAATTTGTAATTAAAATCGTAGGAATTAAATTGTAGACCATATGATTTAATCGTTTTTTTACATATACATTTTATTCAAATATTAGAATCGAATCGTAAGATTTAAATGGATTAATCTAAAGTCCTTTTAATTTTGATATTATATTTGTTAATAATGTAATTAAAATGGTTTAATAATTATGAATATGAAAATTAACAATGCATTTAACATTATTTAATCATTTCATACTGTTTTGTTTATGTTTATCTATATTTCTTGCAAGTAATTTCACAAATATTTATCTTGTCTAAGTGGTTTGGAATTCTTTTCAAGTGTCTTGTGACCCGGGTTCGAATTCCATCCATAACAATTTTGGACAAAATTTAAAAATCCGGTCCGGACCCGGACCTGGCCCGGAACCGACCCGGAACCGGGTGGACCCGAGTGGACCCGGCCCGGACCCGGACCCGCCTTCCCGCGGGTCGGTTTCGGGTCCTCCAAAACTCGGACCCGGACCCGGCGGGTCCGACCCGGAACCGGACCCGACCCGACCCGGGGCCATGTCTATTTGCCCCCATGTACTTGAAAAATTGTGTCAATGTGGCCCTTGCCATTAGTTATTAGACATTTAACATTAACACCGTTTGATCTAAATATGAAAATTATAAAAAATTCGCCCCTCCCAGTTTAAATAATTATTAAAAAAAATGAAAAATTTAAGAAAAAATAAAAATAAATTGTGGTTGTCGTCGTGGACTATGCTTTCTCGTTGTCTTGAATTTTTTTTTTCTCTATTTTGTTCTTTAATAATTATTTAAGATGGGGTCAAATGGTGTTTTTGTAATTTCAAAACTTAGACCAAACGGTGTTAGGGGTCAAATGTCTGACAACTAACAACGAGGGCCACATTGAGACAATTTTTCAAGTAAGGGGGGCAAATTGATGCAATCAAGAGTAGAAGGGCATAAAGTGATATCGAGCTAAAGTACAACGGGGGAAACTGGAATTTACCCTAAAATAAATTAGTGTGATTTTATTTTAATTAATTGTCACTTTTTGTTACAATGATGCATTAGTTTGCAATTTTATCGGTTTTAGACTCTCTTTGTTTCAAATAAGTGTCGTTTAGAGTTGGTGTACGCATGTTAAGAAAACTAATAAACGCGCAAGTTTTATAAAAAAAAAATAGTGCGACTGAAGTACCCTCTCATTAAAAGAAAAGTTTTGTTTTTCTTTCAAGTAACTAAAAGTAATAAAGGCATCATTGGAATTCTGAAATGACAAATAATATGGATTGTGGAATAAGAAAAAATTCTACAAATTGATAGATAATTTGGAAATCGAAAGATAATTAGTGGATAAATTGATCAGAAATTTAGTACGTTTTCCTCAAGTCTTTGCATATCAAATATTTTGACATATACAGAATACTCCCTTTATTTCTAACTAATTATTTATTTTCACATTTGCACAAGTGTTAAGAAATTCAATAAATGCGACTTGATTTTAGTAAAAAAAATTCACATAAAAAAACTAAAATAACCTTTATTATTTAATAATTTATTAGAGATGTTTAATTTTCACAATTGAATCAATAAGATTAAAGCATGAAAACATATATTTAATGCAATATAAAATTGTAAATGTAAAGTGACAAATAATATATATTAAAAATATTTTGCAAAAGTGACAGCCGTTGTGGAACAGATGGAAGTAACATTCGATCCCGAAATCTATGATTTAATAGGGGTAGCTAGGATTTTAATTAGTATTAAGTTTTATTCATGATTATAGCATTGGCAAAAAGAAACGTAAAGCAGGTATTATTGCAGCCCCCTCTTTCTAAATGAACGATTTTGAAGTTGACTTTTTCCAAACATGTGAAATTAAATCTTTGAATTTGAGGGGGGCGGCGGTAGGGGTTGGGGGTAGTGGATGTTGAGTTTAATTATTTACGAATATCCGCTTCCAGATTAGATGAAATTATCTTCCAAATTCGACAAAATTTATTCTTAATAATCATAAGATGGGGTGAAAAAAATGTTAAAACGATATTTAAAGTCTTAAAAGACGAAATTACCCTTCCAATTTACTCAAATTTGATAGAATTAGACCGGAAATACACATTTGGGACAAAGTGCATCAAGTTGTATATTTTGAATGGGGATAGTCTCGATTTTGTATTTTTGAGGTGGGAAATGCAAAAAAAACGTTTTTTTCAAGGGGAGAAGTGCAATTTACCCTATTTAATATGTAAAATAAAAGTTTTAACTTTTTGGATTACTACGGTTGGTCGGTTTGTTATCACTTATCTCTCAACATTTACTACAAAGGGTATTCTTTGTCCACGTAGAAGTAAAAAGAAAAATCAATTTTTTAAGGTCAACGGTCAAATTGAAAATCCATACTATTTTTTGTTCCACGAGCTATGAACCACGATTCAAACTCAATTTGAACAAGAAAAAAGAATATGAAAACAAAAAATCAAGCAACTTGACCTCGACTCGATTGCGTATCAAATCAAGTTCAAACACATCTTTAAAAGATCGATAAAAAAAAAAAAATCAAACATGCATTCTGCTCGATTCAATTCGTCTACACCCTTATTTGTCAGTAGTTAATCTTATGAGATGGGGGTTTAAAAATAAATTATAACTCGAGTTTTTGTAATACAATAAAAACAGATGATTTTGTGATGTAAATTCTTTTAAGATTAAAATCATAAGAAATATCAATAGTGGATAGAATTGAAACCATAGCACATGAAAAAAATGTGCAGATAATTAATTAAACATTAATTTGCTTTGTCCGCAGAAAAATGTAGATAGAGAAAGGACATAATTAAATAGAATGTGTAATTTCAAGAATGCCGACTAACCTAAAAAACGTTTATAGCATGCATAGATAGATTAGGATATTAGAACTGCCTAACTTAAAAGATGTCACACCACTATGTATCTAGAATCATATATCTCATTAAATTGGACGGCACTTCCTTCAACTCAAGCTTTTAGAGAGAGAAAAACCGAACCGAAATTTTGTGTATGTGGGCCCCACCTAAAAAAAATGAAGGGCCCACCTCTCTGGTGGACCGATAATACAATTAGAAATGAACACTATTAAAAGAAGAGAAAAGTAGTCATGATAAGATGTATACCTAATTATTGCGAGGTTCGTATTTACTATTTAACTAGTGTTTGTACTCAAAATCTAATGTTTTAGCATGATTTCTAATTTTATTATTAGAATGTTTTATTTTTTCTTCTGAAAATCGTGTGAATTGTAAGATTTTTTAAAGTTTACGAATTATTTAACAATTTGAATCGAGAAGGGTTCGATTTGAATCGTAAAGTGTATGATTTCAATAACCATGGGACTATTTAAAATCTTACGATTCCGTATATCGTACGATTTTAATAACTACGGGACTATTTAAAAAAAATAGAATTGCGGTAATATTTTTATAGTACTTTACAACTCCAATTATTTACAATAGTAGGTTTTCGAGAAGTGATGGAGTCATGGCCCCTATGGTCGTATGTTTTGCACGTAGGAGTGGAAATCGGATGGATAGGATTGAATTAGCACATTCGAAAAAAAAATTCAATTTTCGGGAGCTGAAAAACTAATTCCGATTCTGCTAGAGAAAAAATGGGAAAAGTGAAAACTGTAATGGAAAAACTTGTTCCAAAATCAAAAATTTTAGGATTGGAATAGGAGGAATTCAGAAAATTCGAATATGTTGTAACCTAAAATGTAAAATACATAATAATTTTGATATTATAAGTGTATTTTTTGGGATTTAACGTCAGATCGAAAATCGGGATATCATATATATTCCAATTCCAATCTAAAAAAAATCGGACAAATCGAAAATCGCAATATTCAGAATTCGGAATGAAAAATATTGTTCCAAAGTTGAAAATTTTCAGATCGGAATCGGCGGAAATCAGAAATTTCATTCCAATTTCCTCGCGTAACTGCACTTTATTCTCTGACAATGGAATTATAATCAAGAACCAGACAATAATTAATTAACAAAAAGATTTAAAAAAAAACAAGTAATTAGAGACACTAATCCATAACATTGATAACTCACCCTCGTTGGAGGATTAAGATAATTAATCTCAATTAATCACTGTCTCTCCGTAATGTAGAATCTCCGTTTACGCCAGATGCCAGCTCAGCTTCGAACGAGAGAGACGACGGCAGTCTCTCGTAAACTCTCGAGCCCAAAGGCAGAAGCTTCGCCTGCCTCGCAACGAGCTTCCCTCTAAGCTTCTCGTAATTCCACCTCTGCTGAACATAAACAATTAACGCTAAAAGAATCGAAACAATCGGAATAGCAATGTCGCCGAATTTGGAATAGAAATCCGTTCGAAGGTCCGCAAACTCGTAGTCGTTGGAGTAGTTATAAGGATTACTCGGGAAAGGCGATTTTACGAAATCGTACGCGTGCGGAAAAATCCGAACCAATGTTAGTCCAATGTAGTACATTTTCCTCAGGGGCTTAACTTGGACCATCCATAGCAAGTTCCCGATTACTTGCGGAAGAAGGAAGAAATCTTGCATCAAACCGACGTACTCCGCCAGCTCAGCCTCCCATGCGCTGACGGGGCGAGAGTATTCGTTAGAATCTACAAAAGATTCACTTTGACGAGGGTCGTACCTCGAGGTTTTATAATGCACGATGAGAGCGAGTATATATCCAAGAATGTGTACAATTGAAGTAGCGAAAAGGACTTTTTTGTCATTTGGGACTCGGTGCGGCTCTAACGGGGATCTAGTCAGCATTCTTACACGGGATTTCCATACTTTCTGACAAAGCCTCATAGTCGACAAAAACGCAATCAGCACTAATAATTTCACCATATAGTCGATGACAAGAAACGGTTGGCCTTTCTGCAAATTTTCGAATCCCGTTTTTGCCTTTTTTCCGAAAAGGTCTTCGGCCCCCGTAATCAGCGGTAGGCCGTAGCTAATCGCTTGTACTCCAAGCATCACGAGCGATACGTACGGGACATTTACGATATTACCCCTCACGTAAAAAAGCTGGGTCGATATACATCCGATAGCCAAAGACAGCGTCGCAATGCGGAGGATCCCTTCCACGCCCCGCCTCGAAAGAATATCCTCCCATTGATTCCTGTACAAAACGGGGGCCGTATGGATTTTAATCGGACTAAAATAAAGAGGGTCGTCTTTTTCCCGTTGACTGATCACGGAAACTTTGGCGGTGGGGTCCACCAGCCAACGGTCAGTGGTCGGGGGGTAGGAAATTACGACTTCGACCTTACAATCGAGCCCCTTTTCCGCGAGGGCCACACAACCAATAAGATACATTTTCCCGAAAAGTGGATTGTAGATTCCCTCTACGGATATCGAAGAGTAGTTGTATGCGTCGATTCCAACGAGATTTATCTGAGCCGACACATTAAGAAGCGGCGTCGGATTAAAAGAAATACTACCCTTCTGATTAGAATAACCCTTCTGATTAGAATAACGCCCGAAAAACGGGCCGATTGTCAGTATCTGGATTTGCAATTGGATATTTATCCAAGACCTCCGAAGTTGGTCCGGTACAGCTGTCATGAGAAGCGTCAGATCTTCGGACAGAACCGAAACGCTGTATGGAAGATTCTCTTCGGTGTTCTCTAATTTCGGGAATTTCAAGAAAGACTTTTTCACTGCGGATTGGATTTTAGAAGGCTCGTACTTCTCGAGTACTGACGTGGCGGCTTCGATCTTCGAGTACTCGTAGTGGGCCCCGGAGCTCCACTGCTCAGTGGACTCCACGGGCTTCTCGAACGCTAAAGGGGAGTACGATCTGACCGTCGGATCGATGCTCGATAGAGTGCCCGAGAACACGCTCCTCTGTTTTATCGAAAACAAGAGAGGAACATACATAGATATACGAGTGTGACATATGTTATCGTACGGTGAGCATGCGACCATGCAGAGGCGCCCCGTCTTAGGATACCATGCACCCTCAGCGGAGAGGGTCATGCCGTTGAGCCCCGTACGTTGCGTCGCGGAGTAGAGCTGCTCCGAGGGGGGTACCGCTCGGAAAACCGAGGACACCCTCGTCTTCGACGAAGTAGTGTTTTCGCACCGTACATCATGAAAAACGAGCTTCACGTTTTTGAATCCCCCATTAGTGAAATCGATCTCCTTGCTCGATACGAACGGACCCAATTTACTACAAAACTCGTCCGTCCCATTGCAGTTAAAGTTCGGTAAAACGGTGAATTGTTCTGTGAATTGTTCTTGACGGGAGAATCTATCGAGCACCCCACAAAAGTCAACCCCTTTGTACACATCATCAACAGTTTCGATTTCATCACTCATCGAATCGCAAGCCCTCGACACGAGATCATCGGAAGCGAACTTATAGTTCGCGGACCCCAACGAGGAGGAAACAAGAACTTCGTCGAAGTACTTGAGGTCCGATTCTCGGTTCAAACTCTTGATGCTTCCGTATATTTCTCTAGTCCTCAAACTCAACGCCTTAGGGTAACGGAGCTCGAATAGAATCCGGTCGTCCGGCGCGAGAACCGGATGAATACTATCGCCGTTTTCCTTAACCCACGGCCACGGATCGTTCGAGTGGGGCCCACGCGAAGGCAGCACCGCACTCCCCAACAAACACATTACTCTCTCTCCCCCCAATTCAGTGTAGACTCCTTGGAACCGAATCGACAGCTGCGAGTTTCCGGGCCACATGTCGAATTTCGGGGTTTCGTCGTCGGGTTTCTGGAGGAGCATGTTTGATATGGCTGTGCTGATCTGTAAGAACCCGCTAACGGGTATGGATTTCTTGGAATAACGGTGATTCGGGTCAACATTGGTGACCCAGAACGAGACCAGGTTTAATGAGTTAACGGCGTTTTTGTAACCCGAAAGGTCTCCGTCGTAGAACGGCATCAATGGAGCAAAAGCTCGACCCGACCCGTTTGAGAGCGGCTGCCACCAATCGCCGTTCGAGAAGGAGAGTTCCTCTTTGATGGTGTACAGTCTGCTGTCGTCGGGTTTGAGTTCCTCGGCGGATTGTAAGAGAGAGGCGCACTCTTTGTTAACCTCACCCATGCGGTCATAGTTGTAGGTGACGGTACGCTGCTTGTTTCCGTTACCGTCGAATCCGCCGACGCCATTGTTTGCATAGTTGTACGAGTTCGCGAAACCGATGCATAGCAGCAACACAAACAGAGTACACGATGTTGCAGAATTTATAGAACACGTCATAGTAATAAAACAGTTTGAATATTGCTGTCGGAATTTCTCCGGCAACAATGAAAGTGAAGTGATTTCTCAGATTGCCCACAAGAATTGAAATAAAAATGAAATCTTTAGAACAACCCAGATAAAAGATTTTTGACGATATTAGACTTACCGAGAAATTAGTGGGAGTAATTAGTGGGATCAAGATTCGAGATTTTTGGAAGAGAAGTGTTGGATGTTCAAAGTCAAAACGATTCAATTTTAAGACAAGTATGGTGATTTTAGTCAACGTGCCAGTTCTAATTTTCTTTATTTGGGTAAATTACGCCCACACCCCTGAAATATTGGTAATTACAGTCATACCCCTGAAACAATTATGGGAGCCAAGATTTCGAATCTTGGGGTCTGATATGAACTATATTTGTTTTCTCTAGCGCCGTTAAGTCTACCATAGAAGAAAATTTATAAATCTTATATAAAATAATAAGAATTTAAGAAATATTGTGATCATTGTTCTGAAACTAGTAGTCCGTTAGAAGCCTAATGTATGCTTTTCTAACAATGTTTTAGTGATAATTGTAATTATTGATACTACAGGGATCATAAAGTTATTTTAGCATACCTCGGGGTGAAAGTGTGATATACCTTTTTTATTTATTATTTATTTTTTCTCTCCATTTTTTTAATCATTTTCCTCACTCATTCATATACACTTAACTTGGGAGTTGAGGAATATTTTATGTTTGATAGGACTATCATATTGGGTAGTTGTACTTAATGAGAGGTTACCCACATTAAATTATATAATTAATCTGGCATCAAGCAAATTGCAAATTTATTTAGTTCTGGATCCAATCTAATTTTATTTAAGGGTAAATTCACTTTTCCCTTGTATTTTGACTCGATATCATTTCATCTTCGTAAACTTTCAATTGCTTGATTTGCTCTCTTGTACTTTGGTTCGATATCACTCTACCCCTTCTACTCTTCATTCATCGATTTGTCCACTTGTACTTTGGCTGAATATCACTTTACCCCATTCTACTCTCAATTGCATCGATTTGCCCTTCTACATGAAAAATTGTCTCAGTGTGGCCCTCACCGTTAGTTTTCAGACTTTTGACCTTAACAACGTTTGATCTAAGTTTGAAAATTACAAAAAAGTCACCCCTCCCAGTTTAAATAATTATTAATAAAATAAAATAATAATAAAAATTGTGTCAAAGGTCTGACATTTTAATAATTATTTAAACTGGAGAGGTGACATTTTAGTAATTTTCAGACTTAAATCAAATGGTATTAAGGTCTAAGGTCTGAAAATTAACGGCTAGGGCCACATTGAAACATTTTTTCAAGTACATGGGGCAAATCGATGCAATTGAGAGTAGAAGGGGGTAAAGTGATATCGTACTAAAGTACAAAGGGGCAAATCGATGAATTGAGAGTAGAAGGGGGTAAAGTGATATCAAACCAAAGTACAAGGTGAAAAATCGATGCAATTGAGAGTGGGTAAAGTGATATCCAACCAAAGTAAAATGGGGGGAGGGGGAGTGGAATTTACCCTTTATTTAATCAAAGTCAATTTTCAGGAAAAATACAAATTACATCCCTCGAGTTTGTACCGATTTCACATTTGGTCCTCTAATGTTCGCATAAAATACATTTGGTCCCTCATGTTTCAAAAATTCAAAATTTTTAGTCAATTTTACGTTAGTAATAACGGAATCAAGCATGTGTCCAACACTGTCTTAACCGACAGACTAACGGTAAATTGACGAAAATGACCAAAATTGTTAAATTATTGAAACATGAGGGACTAAATATATTTTTTGTGACCTAAATATGAAATTAGTGCAAACTTTAGGGATGGAACTGTATTTTTCCCTCAATTATCATATAAACAGGGGCATACCCATGCTTATGGCTGGGGTGGGCCCCCGCCCCCCAAGATTTTTTTTAAGCTGTTTTTTTTTTCTTTGGTATTTATGTATTAGTTAATGCATTTTCGCCCCTCCAAACTTTTAATTTTGTACACTTTAGTCCTCAAAAACAAAAACAAAATCCTCTCTTAAATTACTCCTATATTTCAGCCCCCAAGAAAAGCCCCCTAAGTCCGCCCCGCATATAAACATATTTATGTATGTGCTCAAGCATATACAAGTTCAGAAAAGATTCCTATTTTAAACTGGGCCTCTTTGAGAAAGCCCCCAAATTACTTTTTTTAATTGGGAGAGGCCCAAATTATTTTTTTCCATTTGAGAAAAACCCTCACCCATTTCTAACCACCTTTATTTCCAATTTTGACCCCGCCCACTCCACATCACCAGCCCGCTCCACGCTCATAAGCCTTTTCTTCTTTTCCTTTTTTCTTTTTTTTTTCTATTTTTTTTTTGTAGTTTTTTTCCGAGTCAGTTTTATTAATCGACTATGAAGCATAGTCGATTAAGGAAGCATAGTCGATTAAGGAAATATTTTAATTTTTTTTTATTTTTTTATTTTTTCTAATTTTGTTTTTAAATTTTTTTTCGTTTTTTTTTTCTCTATCGGGTGTATTAATGCATAGTCGATTAAAATTGTAACTATTAAAAATAACAAATCACAATTACAAAAAAATGCAAAATCAACTATACTTAAAAAAAATATACAAACATTGAAATTGATTTATACATTTGAATCAATAAACAAAAAAAAAAAATAAAATAACAACTGGAGTCGGTTAACCTTAATCGACTATTGAACATAGTTGATTAAACCACAAGTAGTCGATTAAGGGCCCTGCCTACGCGAATTTCTTTTTCTGCGCCGTCTTCCGCCACAATCCACCAAAAACCCTAGATCTGCTATTCATCGTCACCACGTCGTCGCCACACCACACCATCACCACCCCACTTCCTATAAAAACAATCAAAACAGAACCATGTACTACGGTCAAAATCACCAAACCAAAGCCACCTATATCAAAAAATATGCAGCAAAATTAGATTAAAAATCAATAACAAATAAGTACAATGAAGCAAAACTACCTTGAGTGCGTATTTTGCAGCCCCCGTACAACTCTGAAATTTCTATCTGCAATTAGATTCCCGATCGATCTCCAATTTTCAAATCTCAAACCAGAAACAACGGCAACTAACACTACTCCAGGAAATCAAAACCATAAATAAAAAGTAAATCTTAGAAATAGAAGAACGTGCGCATCTCCTCCGGTGTGGAGACTCCCCTCGAAGCTCCAATCGCCAAACCTCCGCCCGCGCCGCCTTCTACCATCGCCCCATAGTCGGACCGCCACCAAACACACAGATCAGATCTACAAGAAGGAAAAAAAAAAAGAGAAAAAGAGATGAGAGTGGGAAGAGATGAAAAGAGAAAAAGAAAAAAAACGGCGTAAAACATAATTAGGGTTTTGAAAGAGTATATTGGACAATTAAGGGTAAATTTGGAATTATGAAATAATATTTGGATAGAATATTAGGTAAGGGGGTTTTATCTAATTATTTTTGGGAGGGGTATTTCTTTAACTATATTTCCTAGATGGGGTTTTTTCTCTAATTATCCCTTTAAACTGAAACGACAAAGTAATTATTTTTCTACACAACTAAAAACATCTTTGATTTATTTAATTTTATTTATCAAATAATTCTTTTCAATTTTGAGATTGGTACGTGAGAAAGAAAAATAGATACACATGAAGGAAATAAGCTCCATAGATAGATAGATATCTTCATTCTTCACTTATACTTATTAGATCATCCATAAACGAAGCTCGATAATAGATAATCGCGATTTCGTAACGCGATTAACTTATCTCCTCTGGAAATTCAATGTCATGACGGCAAACGCGAAAACAAACGCAAACAAAACTTCAAATCCAGCGACCATAAGAGCGACCACACCGATAAAATCGTGTCTGAAACCAAAGTAACTTGCCAAGAACTCTTGAACAGGTTGCTTCGTAATTTCCAGCTCATCTCTTACGTCTCCAAACTGTGACGTAAGTAAACCGTAAAGTGTCCTCTGTCGTGAAACAATTACGAAAAGAAAAGAAAAAAAAGAAATTCGATTAGTCTTTCTTTCACTATATATATGTTCCTGTGGATGGTAGTAGGATGGTAGTAGGTACAGAAATCGGACGGATCGGATCAAAATTAGCAGTTTTGAAAAAAAATTATTTCTTTCTAAGTGAATAAACTAATTCCAATTTCCTCGCCTAACTGCATTTTATTCACTGACTGAGAAATTATGAATCACGCGACTACAAATAGAATCCGTGCTATCGTACGAAGCCAATGCAATTATAATCAAGAATCAGCCAATAATTAATTAACAACAAGATTAAAAAAAAAAAAGAAGCAAGTAATTAAAAACACTAATCCATAACATTGATAACTCACACTTGTTGGAGGATTAAGATAATTAATCTTAATTAATGACTGCTCTCTGTAATGTAGAATCGCCGTTTACGCCAGATGCCAGCTCAGCTTCGAACGAGAGAGACGACGGCAGTCTCTCGTAAACTCTCGAGCCCAAAGGCAGAAGCTTCGCCTGCCTCGCAATGAGCTTCCCTCTAAGCTTCTCGTAATTCCACCTCTGCTGAACATAAACAATTACCGCCAAAATAACCGAAAAAATCGGAATAGCAACGTCGCCGAATTTGGAATAAAAATCCGTTTGAGGGTTAAAATACTCGTATTCGTCGTTGGAGTAGTTATAAGGATTACTCGGGAAAGGCGATTTTACGAAATCGTACACGTGCGGAAAAATCCGAACAAGAGTTAATCCAATGTAGTACATTTTCCTCAGGGGCTTAACTTGGATCATCCATAGCAAGTTCCCGATTACTTGCGGAAGAAGGAAGAAATCTTGCATCAAACCGACGTACTCCACCAGCTCAGCCTCCCATGCGCTGACGGGGCGAGAATATTCGTTAGAATCTACGAAAGATTCTCTTTGATACCTCGTGGTTTTATAGTGTACGATGAGAGCGAGTATATATCCAATAATGTGTATAATTGAAGTAGCGAAAAGGACTTTTTTGTCGTTCGGGACTCGGTGCGGCTCTAACGGGGATCTAGTCAGCATTCGTACACGGGATTTCCATACTTTCTGACAAAGCCTCATAGTTGACAAAAACGCAACCAGCACTAATAATTTCACCATATAGTCGATGACGTGAAACGGTTGGCCTTTCTGCAAATTCTCGAATCCCGTTTTTGCTATTTTACCGAAAAGGGCCTCGGCCCCCGTGATCAGCGGTAGGCCGTAGCTAATCGCTTGCACTCCAAGCATCACGAGCGATACGTACGGGACATTTACGATATTACCCCTCACGTAGAAGAGCTGGCTCGATATACATCCGATAGCCAAAGACAGCGTCGCGATGCGGAGGATCCCTTCCACGCCCCGTCTCGAAAGAATATCCTCCCGTTGATTCCGGTACAAAACGGGGGCTGTGTGGATTTTAATCGGATTGAAATAAAGAGGGTCGTCCTTTTCCCGTTGGCTGATCACGGAAACTTTGGCGGTGGGGTCCACCAGCCAACGGTCGGTGGTCGGGGGTAGGAAATTACGACTTCGACCTTACAATCGAGCCCCTTCTCCGCGAGGTCCACGCAACCAATAAGATACATTTTCCCGAAAAGTGAATTGTAGATTCCCTCTACGGATATCAAAGAGTAGTTGTACGCGTCGATTCCAACGAGATTTATCTGCGCTGACACATTAAGAAGCGGCATCGGATTAAAAGAAATACTACCCTTCTGATTATTAGAATAACGCCCGAAAAACGGGCCGATTGTTAGTATCTCGATTTGCAGTTGGATATATATCCCAGACCTCGGAAGTGGGTCCGCTACGGCTCTCATGACAAGTTTCAGATCTTCGGACAGAACCGAAACGCTGTAAGGAAGATTCTCTTCGGTGTTCTCTAATTTCGGGAATTTCAAGAAAGACTTTTTCACTGCGGATCGGATTTTAGAAGGCTCGTACTTCTCGAGTAGTGACGTGGCGGCTTCGATCTTCGAGTACTCGTAGTGGGCCCCGGAGTTCCACTGCTCAGTGGACTCCACGGGCTTCTCGAACGCTAACGGGGAGTACGATCTGACCGTCGGATCGATGCTCGATAGAGTGCCCGAGAACACACTCCTCTGTTTTATCGAAAACAAGAGAGGAACGTACATAGATACACGAGTGTGACATATGTTATCGTACGGTGAGCATGCGACCATGCAGAGGCGCCCCGTCGAAGGATACCACGCACCCTCGGCGGAGAGGGTCATGCCGTTGAGCCCCGTACGTTGCGTCGCGGAGTAGAACTGCTCCGAGGGGGGTACCGCTCGGAAAACCGAAGACACCCTCGTCTTCGACAAAGTAGTGTTTTCGCACCGTACGTCGTGAAAAACGAGCTTCAAGTTTTTGAATCCCCCATCAGAGAGATCGATCTCCTTGCTCGATACGAACGGACCCAATTTACGACAAAACTCGTCCGTCCCATTGCAGTTAAAGTTCGGTAAAACGGTGAATTGTTCTGTGAATTGTTCTTGACGGGAGAATCTATCGAGCACCCCACAAAAGTCAACCCCTTTGTACACATCATCAATAACTTCGATTTCGCCATTCATCGAGTCGCAAGCCCTCGACACGAGATCATCGGAAGTGAACTTATAGTTCGCGGACCCCAACGAGGAAGAAACAAGAACTTCGTCGAAGTACTTGAGGTCCGATTCTGGGTTCAAACTCTTGATGCGTCCGTATATTTCTCTGGTCCACAAACTCAACGCCTTAGGGTAACGGAGCTCGAGCAGAATCCGGTCGTCCGGCGCGAGAACCGGGTGATTACTATCGCCGTTTTTCTTCACCCACGGCCACGGATCGTTCGAGTGGGGCCCACGGGAAGGCAGCACCGCACTCCCCAACAAACACATTACTCTCTGTCCCCCCAATTCAGTGTAGACTCCTTGGAACCGAATCGACAGCTGCGAATTCCCGGGCCATATATCGAATCTCGGGGTTTCGTCGTTGGGTTTTTGGGGGAGAATGTTTGCTATGGTTGTGCTGATTTCTAAGAACCCGCTAACGGGTATGGATTTCTTGGAATAACGGTGATTCGGGTCAACGTCGGTGACCCAGAACGAAACCAGGTTCAATGGGTTGATGAAATTATAGCCGTCGTAGTTGAATGGCATTAATGGAGCAGCAGTTCGACCCGACCCGTTTAATAAGCCCGGCTGCCACCAATCGCCGTTCGAGAAGGAGAGCTCTTCTTTGATGGTGTACAATCTGCTGTCGTCGGGTTTGAGTTCCTCGGCGGATTGTAAGAGAGAGGCGCACTCTTTGTTAACCTCACCCATGCGGTCATAGTTGTAGGTGACGGTGCGCTGCTTGTTTCCGTTACCGTCGAATCGTCCGCCATTGTTTGCATAGTTGTACGAGCTCGCGAAACCGATGCATAGCAGCAACACAAACAGAGTACACGATGTTGCAGAAATACAACACGTCATAATAATAATAATAATAAAACAGTTTGAAATTACTGTCGGAATTTCTCCGGCAACAATGAAAATGAAGTGATTTCTCAGATTGCCCACAGGAATTGAACTAAAAATGAAATCTTTAGAACAACCAGATAAAGATTTTTGACGAGATTAGACTTACCGAGAAATTAGAGGGATCAAGATTCAAGATTTTTGGAAGAGAAGTGTTGATGTTCTGTTCGTATAGTCAAAACGATTCAATTTTAGGACAAGCATGGTGATTTTAGTCAACGTACCAGTTCTAATTTTCTTTATTTGGATAAATTACGCCCACACCCTTGAAGTATTGGTAATTACAGTCACACCCCTGAAACAATTACAGGAGACAAGATTTCAATCTTGGGGTCTGATATGAACTATATTTGTTTTTCGTGGGGCCGTTAATGATACTACTTACGGAAATTTATAAATCGTATATAAAATAATAAGGATTTAAGAAATGTTGGGGCCACTGCTTTGAAACTAATACTCCGTTAGAATCCTAATAAAATAACTTATCTGACGTATTATTTTGTTAGAGTTTCTAACAATGTTTTAGGGGTAATTATAACTATGACAGATGAAGAAGAAAGCTGATGAACACCAAACCATTCACCATCTTTGGTTTTGATCTCCAAACCGTCAACTTGGTTCTGATGGATTGTAGACATAAAACTCTTGTCTGTATGAGACACAAATCCCATGTTATTTTCATTCGACTTAGGTTCTCTATATTTCATTACCCTGCAAAGATAGTTTGCTGAACCGATGAGGGATTCGTAGTGCTTCCCCACTCCGTATCTCTCGAACACCATCTGCACGACAATTTTCTCTAGTTCTGCTGCTAACTTTGTGTACCAAACGAGTTTCTCACTGCGCCCAAAAAAAAATTGAGTTATACGGTAGAACATCGATAAATTAATGAAATAACATCGCGTGAATAATTTATTTGGGTCCCGACTCGGTATAAACATACTAAAATATTAGTTCAATAATTTAATATTTCACTATATTAATAGAATTTTGTTAGTCGCGACTGTATTAATTTATAGAGGTTTAATTGTATCCAGGCTTTTGATAATGGAAATAATACAGGGATTTTTTTTTTTTTGTAACAATTGTAGTAAATATAGGGGAGTTAGATGCTACATCTGGTTACTTACACTGGGAGGATTTGAATCATTGATTTGATTAAATAATTACCCACTGAACAATGTGTGTATGAATATGTGTAAATCTATGGTTCAAATTCACTGACTGTAAATAACCAGGTATAGCATTTAATTTCCCGTACAAATAGGGATTCAGAATGCGCGAATGCGCAGATATAGTTACTACAAGCTAGTAAAACATCCTTAATTTATCCTCAATTTCTAGACAAGGAAAATCAAAAGTACACTAAAAATATAAGCGAAAAATGCGTACCTGAAATCGTTATTTCCATTAGGCCACATAACTTTGGCGAAATTCTGGATTCCTTGGAGGGTATCGGCATCATCGATACCCATACTTTCGTAGAGAGGAATGAATGGGATTTGGCCGACATAGCCGTATAATGGCTTAGTGGATTTGTTTTGGACTTTGGTTTGAGTTGGGAGATCAAACAATTCTTCTAGGGCTTGAAAAACTGTAGTGTGTGTTTCTTGGGTGAGTTTATCATATGATGCCACAAAACAACCATATTTTTCGAGTGCAGAGACCACTTCGTCGCATGTTTTGGACCATGATTCTGTCCCGGGTTTCGAGTTCTTGTCTGAGAATTCAATGACATCAAGTTTGTGTTCTTGTGAGAGAGAACCCATATGATAGTTAGTGTGTGTGTGTGTGTGTGTGTGAGAGAGAGAGAGAGAATTTTTCTGTAGCTTGAAGAAATAGTATGAGACTTCTAACAAGCATTGCTTACTTATAAATAACAGATGTAGCACATAAATGGAAACAGTGATACGGGATACAGGAATTTGGGGGAAATATGTAAATATTAAAAATATATAGGAGTATATTCATAAATTATTTTTTATATATCTTCGTACAAACATATTCAAAATAAATATTATTATCAACTAACTATCAATCTGCAATAGATCATTAAATCATATAAATAATTAGGGAAAGCAATAAAAATATTTAGAAATTCGCTCTATTCAAACATGTTTATAACTTTTTCAAAAATTGTAAAATGGCCCATAAGGTGTCCGACAGGTGTCCTAGAGTATCGGACATAAAATGTGTCCGAAATTGTGTGGCAAATTAAATAGCAATAGTATTAATTTATAAATGGCATATAAGACACATTAGTTTTAATTAATTATTCTTTGATTAACACCGGCCCATTTGGTGGAGTGGTCCTTCTCCTACTAATAGTTTATAGTTCAATTATTACGATTTACGACAATAATTTGCGATTATTCTAATTCAAAATATATCTTATGCACACCGAAAATTACTATTTTAGCCCACCAGCAACAAAGGATTACATTCGAAGGTATTCGAAGAAAATGGGCTTTTTCGACAATAGAATAAATTATAGGGATGTGATGCAAAAAAATAAAAAATAATATGATATAGAAATAGAATAACATAAATCTATCTCTTCTGGAAGTTGAAAAATCTGATGGCGATTCCAAATGTGAAAATGAAAAGAACAGTGAATGCAACATGCATGCCTGCAACTGCTCCAAGAAAATCGTGTTCGAAACCGAAGTAGCTTTTCAAGAACTCTTTCACCGTCACACTCGGTAATATATAATTCTCCAAATCTCCGAATTGCGCTGCCGTCAAACCGTACAGCGTCCAAGAAATTGGATCCGCCCAATAATACCATCTCCACCACACAGGAATGCTCTGGTTTCGACAACAATTAAAAGAAAAAGAAAAAAATTAATAATTCGTTTTCAAATATTTTTTTGTGTTTACGAAATGAAATGGATTTGGTTTTTGAACTTACGGGGCGTGGGATGATGAAACCCGAGAAGAGATTCCATAGCAGGATAAAGAAAGTGCCTACCACCGTGCCGATGTGGTGGTTTGGTGACACGGACAATGACATCATCCCGTAGAAGGTGAAGTACAATAGACACAAGTACATGATGAACAAAAACCACAAGAATTTCGCTACTGTCCATTCGAATCCAATCATTGGATAAACGATTAGGCCGAAGGGGAGAGCTTGCGCGAAAACATAAGGAAACTCAATAGCAACCTACAAATAATTATTATTAAAAAAAAATTACTGTAATTAGTTTGCAATTAAATTAAAAAAAAAAAACAATAGTTTATAGAGTCGAGTATATATATAAACCTGTGCTATAGCATAGGGCATGGATGAATACATCCCGGCAGCTCTTTCTCTATAGAAAACAGTTCTCTCGATAGCAACGACCGGCTGAACTGCAACGGCGTTTTGGATGCCTAAGAAGAGCACAGATCCGTACATCGAACCGATGCCGTTGAGTACATTCTGTACACCATTCCTGCTCATTTTCAAGAATTTTTTTATTATTAATTTTTTTTCAATAATTCCGTTTTATGGGATTATTTTAGAATACCTATTGGAGCCGAAACCCCAAAACATGCTTCCCATGATGAGTGCTATGAATATGGTTGAAAAAAACCGAACGGCGGTGTAAGGTGGATTTCTCCAGTAGGACCAGTGTTGCTTCCACAGGCAATATAGGCATTGGATGTGGAATGGCTGAGAGTATTTAGTACGGAAATATAGCTCTTTCGTCTCTGGTTTCGGCGAACTCAATTCACTAATTAGAGCTTTGTTCCTCCTGGTAATAATATTTAAGGTTGTTAGAAAAGAAAAAAAAAATATTACATCATGATAAATCAGTCTTAGTGTTAAATGAAGAGCAAACCTGTATAATTCGGAATCTTTATATAAACGAGAGAAATCGACCCCTACGGACATTTCTTGAGCTGGAGCAGTAATTTCCAGCATCCATGTTGCTGGATTGTAACGGTCTTTTATTCTGCCAACTCCTTCAATACTCTTTTACAGTAAATAACAAATAAAAGAATACTATATTAGTCTCTCTTCTTCTTCTTGGTTTTTTTTTTTTTTAATCTTTGGCAAACTAACCTCAAAGTACTTGATCAGATGGCACGAATGGCGTCCCAACGGCCCCACGTATATCTCTTCCCCTCCTCGTTTAAGCAGAAAAAGCTAGTAATTTTAGGTCAGTAATTTTGAACAAAAAATACAGACAAGATCAGTTAAGGTTATTCATTTAACTAGTTTCTTTTCACCTCGTCGAAAGATTCGAAAATGTCGATGCTAGGCTGGTGTATGGTGCAGACAACTGTCCTTCCAGTGTCGACAGTGTTTCTAACAGTTCTCATCACAATAGCAGCAGCTCTTGCATCTAAGCCTGAAGTTGGCTCATCCATGAATATGATCGATGGATTCGCCACGAGCTCGACTGCAATAGTCAACCTCTTTCTCTGCTCGGTCGATAGACCGTTGACACCTGGCAACCCAACTATCGCACCTCTCAACGGTGTGAGTTCAACGAGCTCCATCACTTCATCAACAAACATCTGCAAATGTGCAAGATAAATGCTATTACAAAAGATTATTTTTTTTAATAACCTTAATTAGAAATCAATGAATGGTTTGCTATAATAATTACTGACATTTTTTGTTTTAGCATCGATATCGGGAGATAAACGAAGCCAAGCCGAATAAAGTAAGGATTCGTGTACAGTTACGTGAGGGGAATGGATATCGTTCTGCTCACAATACCCTGAAATTCTAGCAAATGTTTCTTGCTTTTTAGGGTACCCTGAGATTGTGATGCTCCCCTCTATATACCCTCCCGTTTTACGACCAGCCAGCACATCCATAAGGGTCGTTTTTCCCGCCCCACTAACTCCCATCAAAGCTGTAAGAATACCTGGCCTAAAAGCTCCACTCACACTCTTTAAAAGCACCAGTTTATCATCAAGAAAACCTCTGTCTTTCATTTCCTTCAAAGCAAAAAACAAAGAAAAAAAGAAAAATCACTCAATAAAATGTAACCTAAATTCCATTTTCAAAAATAAGACGCCGAAACTTTTTTAAGAAATTACCTGTGGCATATTAACAGAGTACACAATTTCATCAAAGGTGATGGAATGCGGTTCGAATGGAAGAACCATTCCCCTTTTCCTCTTATTGGCATCAACAAGACTATTTAGTCTCGTTTCGTCGCCGTTTGGACTATTTTCGCTTTCGTCTTCTGGTTTAACAGCTTGAGCCTCTCCAAAAGCTACATAAACACTATTGTTTTCACTAACGCCACTCCAAATTTTAAATTACATAGATTCTAAAAGAAGAAACGCAGATATAAGTACTTACGGTTGAGATACATTAGAGCTAGCATGATGCCTATGTTGAATAGGATTGTGAATCCGAGTAATGCCACTAATCCAATCCAGTACATTTGTGCTTCTGGTAAGAATCCACGCGCTTTTAGAACCTCAACTCCTAATGATTCATTCGTGTTTCCAACAACCTTTAGGACATAAACTTATCAATAATCATCTTCTTTTTTCTTTTCAAAAGCAAAATCAGGACAGCAAAATACGCTACAATTTTTACAGTCAGACATGTATTTACATTATTAGCATAAACCCCACTATATATGTTCGGAAGTTAAATATATGCTCGGAAATTAAAGCCAAAAGGTACCCCTTGGACCTCATTGTTTCACAATTCACCCACGAAAAAAACACGCAAACTCTGATAGATGGGACTTACATGTTGCCAACTATTCCCCCTAAATTCATTCACGACAAGTGCATTCTGCGCGTACATCATTGGCGAGCACCAATAAGCCCATATCCACCATTTTTTCACACTCACTGTAAAAAACAAAAAACAAGGGGGAAATGGGCGTAATTAAACATATGATTATAATCGGGTTAATAGCATTTTCCCACCTAGACTTTGCCCGTTTTTGCACTTTCCCACCTCAACTAAAAAAAGTTGCACGGCGGCACCCAAACATTCATTTTTAACGCACATAACCACCTGGAGGGAATATTCCGGCGAATATTCTCATTTTTCAATGCATGCGCGATGCACATGCGAAAATACAAGGGCTTTTTCGTCTTTTTACTTGAAAATATTATAAGGGGTGAAATCGAAAGTACCAGGGACTCAATTGAACTTAATTTGAAACTTTCACAAGTTCCACCCATCATCTTCTTCGTCTCCCTCTTAATGTGATTCCTTAAATAATTTCATGTTCTTGACACTGACAATGCAGTTTAACCCCAGGCAAAAACAAATAGAAACTCACTACACATAAGCTATATTCAAAAGATTGATAATTCAGTTAGTGAATTGCACTTCCTCGAAATCGAAATAATTAATTGGAAAAACAAAAATTGAAATGATTGACATATGATAATTACGTGGCAATTCGAGGTCGATGAAAGAGGACATATTCTCCGGGGAGGAGTGTGGGAGAGAGTATCGCATGATGGACTCCGACGAGAGGCCATTGGTGGTGCCGCAGAGAGCGCAGTCCCATGACCACTGATCCTGCTCGCAGTAGGTATTGTAATAGGCCCAGCAATTCTCGCATCGGGGCAACAGCTCCCCGCCGGAGCCGTACACCGGCGGGATGTCGTTCTCGTCCTTGGCCGCGAACGGCGTCAGCGTCACGCCCCATGGCACGCCGCACGCCTCCTGCTCGATCGGGTTGCCCGGGAACCGGATCGTCGTCGGCGGTGGGCTGAAGAAGGACGAAGAAGATGATGGGTGGAACTTGTGAAAGTTTCAAATTAAGTTCAATTGAGTCCCTGGTACTTTCAATTTCACCCCTTATAATATTTTCAAGTAAAAAGACGAAAA